CTGCTCCCAGGATGAGGCATTCCACTCCCGTACATCTCAGTTGTCCTCGTTTTTCAAGGACCGTAACTTCCCCTCCTCGGTGGTCGAGAACGCCCTCAACTGTGTCTCCCACATCTCCCGCACCTCATCCCTCACACCCCGTCCACGCAATAAGAACCAAAAAAGAATCCCCCTCGTCCTCACGTACCACCCCACCAACCTCCGGATCCAATGCATCATCCTCCGACACTTCCGCCATCTGCAATCCGACCCCACCACCAAAGACATCTTTCCCTCCCCACCCTTATCTGCTTTCCGGAGGGACAACTCTCTCCGTGACTCCCTTGTCCGCTCCACACTCCCCTCCAGCTCCACCACACCCGGCACTTTTCCCTGCAACCGCAGGAAGTGCTACACCTGCCCCCATACCTCCTCCCTCACCCCCATCCCAGGCCCCAAGAAGACTTTCCACATCAAGCAGATGTTCACCTGCACATCTGCCAATGTGGTATACTGCATCCCGCTGTATCCGGTGTGGCTTCCTCTACATCGGGGAAACCAAGCGGAGACTCGGGGACAGCTTTGCAGAACACCTACGCTCGGTTCGCAATAAACAACTGCACCTCCCAGTCGCGAACCATTTCAACTCCCCCTCCCATTCCTCAGACGACATGTCCATCCTGGGCCTCCTGCAGTGCCACAACGATGCCACCCGAAGGTTGCAGGAACAGCAACTCATATTCCGCTTGGGAACCCTGCAGCCCAATGGTATCAATGTGGATTTCACAAGTTTCAAAATCTCCCCTCCCCCTACCGCATCCCAAAACCAGTCCAGCTCGTCCCTGCCTCCCTAACCTGTTCTTCCTCCCACCTATCCCCTCCTCCCATCTCAAGCCGCACCTCCATCTCCTACCGACCAACCTCATCCCGCCCCCTTGACCTGTCCGTCCTCCCTGGACTGACCTATCCCCTTCCTAACTCCCTACCTACACTCACCTTTACTGGCTCCATCCCCGCCTCTTCGACCTGTTTGTTTCCTCTCCACCTATCCTCTCCTCTATCCCTCTTCTATCCGCCTCCTACTCTCTCCCTATTTATTTCAAAACCCCCTTCCCCTCCCCCTTTTCTGATGAAGGGTCTCGGCCCGAAACGTCAGCCTCTCTGCTCCTATGATGCTGCTTGGCCTGCTGTGTTCATCCAGCCCTGCACCTTGTTGTCTCTATTTCTTTTAAATGTATTGCACCAAGCTGATATTCTATCATCCATTCCTACCCTGGTAAAACTAATGTCAAAGGGACGGTGTCACTAGATTTCCAAAATGAGTCGCAAATAACGTTTCAAACAGTGTCCCCATGATGTGCTTTCTTCTGTAGTTTTGGCTGGTGCTTTCAAATTTATTTAAAGTTTATCAAACCTGAAATAAATGTTGTTTCAGTATTTTTCAGTCTTTACTGAGGTAAAGGAATCAGAATCTGCTAAGTCACTGTATACCGGCCTGAGAGAGTGAGAATTTGATTCCATCAGTTTTAGTATCACTTAACTGAAGCCACTGATATATGTTGGGACAAATGAAAAATGAATTATATTTAAACCAGATCAGGCATAAAACCGAAGTATAAAAGTAAATATTGCAGACAGTATTGTTGTATATATTGATATTTGACCTTGAGCTAAATCATCTTAACTCATACCTTAATTATGTTTCTGCACTGCCTATCTCAACCTAGAAAGAGAGGCATCACTCTTTACAATTTTAATGTAAAAAAGAAAGCAAATATCATGGTAGATGACAAAAATAATTCCTTTTTTATTGCAATATACATATCAAAATAGAATATCCCAGGAACAAAAGGGATAAAATATCATATTAGAGCTTTTCAAAATTTGTTTCTTCCCTTTCTACAGCAGGTCTAACTCATGTTGGGGTATTGTTCTATAAATGTTGTCATTTCTCTGGTGCCTCATTCAACTGCCCATTTCCTGCACATATGTCTATATGGGCAGAATCTTCTGTTCCCAGAGATGGCAATCTTGGAGATGGGAAGGAATTGAGTGAGTAAGGGAGGGCGGGGTGGTGGTGATTTCCTCAAACTCTACTTTCTTCATGTCTCCACAAGACTTATGTTCTGGACAGGAAGGCCCATAGTCAACTTCCCTGCCTCAT